CGTTTTAAAAGCAATAAAAAAGCCGTCCCAAACGAAGCATAAATCTTAAAAGGGAATTTTACACATGTAGAATGCAAATTACACAATTTAGTTTACAATGATTCAAATAAAAAATTTATAGGCTTGATTTGATGAATTTAAGCCTTTGTTTGGGATGACTTTTTTACTGCTTTTTAAAGCAATTTTCTAATACAATAATACAGAAATTACTAGAAAGCTTTTTTAAGAAGCAATAAGAAAGTCATCCTAAATGAAGACTAAGATACCAAAGAAGTTTAAGAATTTTGGGAAACCACTAGCTTTTTAATAATTTAAATAGTCAAGTAAATTATTTCTTTTAATTAAAATGTGAATTTTTTTTGCAGGGAACTAATTTTCGTAGATTCTACATGCTTAAATGCATATGAGGTTAAATAATTATGTAACTTGCTTTATATAAGATTACTAAATACAAAAAAACTGAGGAAAATGGATGGGGTTTTAAAATTAAACATTTGATCTATTTTCCATTGAAATGGATAGCTCAAATTTGTCTTCTCCTATTGCATATTTTAAAATAAAGATTTCAGGTAAAAATGTTAACATCAACCCTTTTGAATCTAAAGCCAATTACTTCATATACCAATTGAGGCAAATAAAGTTGTCATAGCTTCAAAAGAGGGATCGAATGGGTGCCAATGGGTTGAAAAATTAGAGCTAGTTATGTACCAAAATCATCCAAAGACTATATACCTCAAGGTCAATATAGGTTTTTAAATCATTATCTCCGAAGTACATGAACTATGGGTCAATTGATGCCACAATTCTTAAACCTTTATGAGGTGTGGGGAGACTAAGGGTTCGTTTGGGACGGCTTTTTTATTGCTTTCTAAAATTAAGTTTTAGCACATTTTTTTATTTTTGTACTAAAACTCCATTTTAGAAAGCAATAAAAAAGCCGTCCCAAACGAAGCCTAAACCTTCTCTTGAATTGAGCTAGGGTTTGTTATATTACTTAAGAGACCAAGCACTATTAATTCAGTACTAAACTCAAGTTTGTTATGGAATATCCATTTTTACATAAGGATGATGAGGTGGATAGATAAGATGATTTAGGAGACAAACTTTGCATGTTGAGATTTTAGCTATGTTGAATTCGGCTAATATGTTTTGATTTGAGTAATCTCTTATTAGTTCCTTTAATGCATTTTCTGCATTTCTTTCAAAAAAAAAAGAGTAATCTCCTATTAATCCATCTCTAATATAATTAGGAGTCAAACTAATCTCTAATATACTAGATATGATTAGTGACTAATTAAGGTTAGAAGGGAGTTTTTGTTTATATTAACAAAAGTTGTTCAATATAGGTCATGGTAATTGAATCAATCTAGTTAGGCTTATCCAGTGAGCCAAATGGGGGAAGGATTGGTTTTGTTCAATTAATCTAACTTGGATAGTTTATCTCAATAGATCAAGTATGTGTTCACCTTGGTTCAAATGGGCTAATTGAGTAATTTAGGTAAAATTAAGGGTTAATTTGGATCAGTTTGGATTTGGTGAATTCAATCAATGGTTTAGCTTATTTGATCAGATTGAGGCTTGAGGGGGGGGGGGGGGGGGGTTTTTAAAAAGGGGGGGGGGGGGGGGGTTATTTAAAAAATTTTATGATAGTTTTGATACCTCTCTTTTACTATTAAAACACCTCACTTGCATTAATTGTGTAGGAAAATTCTTTAAAAAAGATGAAATTGGAAAAGAACACTAGTACCATAGTGTCGGGTCCTCAAGCGCCACAACATCTGAGAACTTAGCATTGAAAATGTTGAGCTCTTTGGAATTATGCAAAAATAATTCAACACCGTAGTGCTGACCCTTGGAGTGTCGCAACATCCGATCCCTTATTTCAACCAAAAATATAAAGAGAAATATGTTGTGGTAGGGGAAATGATGGTTTGTAGTGCCCATTTGGCACTGTAGCGTCAAGGAAATAACAATGTTACAATGCTAGAGATGAGAGTGCAGCACAATATCACTCCAACACCATGACATAATAGTTAAATAAGTTACTTTATTAAAATAACATGTTGATTCAATGCCTTAATAGAAAGAGACTTGAGTGTCACAGTGCTAGTTTATTTGTGAGCACTACAGCTTTATCCTTAGTAGTGGCGCGGTGTTAGAGTTAGTTATTATACTAAAATATAAATAATTTTTCCAAATTTTTGTGTGGGGCTGGTCATATTTTGATGGGGAAAAAAGATTAGAGTGCGAATAGAGAGAGTGGATGAGGAGAAAGCTTAGGAAGTCAATTCTTATGTTAGAAGAGTTTTTAATCATATTTGAAAAGAACTTCCTGGTGCAATCCTTTCTTGAAACTCTTTTTGTACTTTGTTTTTGCAATTAATGGAATGTGTTATGCTTAGTTCTAAATTCATGCCTGGCTAAAACATTTATTATGGTGAGAAATCAAGTGTGCTTAATTTTTGGATTGCAACTTCATGAACTATTTTCAATGCAATTTTAAATTACCTCACATTTAATTATTATTTTGCATAGGTTATGTATTAACTTAAAACTAAGTGTAATTTATCACCTTGACAGAGGGTTAGAAGAGTAACTAAGGGAATTAAAATTGAACTTTATTATTTTTTTTTTTTTTGAAAAAACCCTACATAAGGGGGCCTACGTGCTAAAATAGATAAAAAATTCACATCCTTAAATACTCCAAAGCTCACTAAAGTACAATAATTCAAATAAAGCCTAAGAGCCTCGGGATCCATCTAAATACAAAAACCAAGAAAAAGCAAATGGAAGACAAGCTCAAATAGAAACCAACATTGAAGGAGACAAAAGAAAACACCATTATCCCAACAATGAACCACCACATCTAGAGGAAAAATGCCATGCAAATCCAAGGACCAACCCGAACAAAACAAAAGGAAAGAAACTACACCAAAAGGAAAGATGAAAACTCCACCATATAAAAGAATTCTTCCAAAGCAGTAGCCATCAAACCAAAAACAAAAAACTACTTTTTAAATTTCCTCTTTCTAAGTTTACCTGCCAGAATGATAGTACCTTGCATACCACCATCCTGTTTAAACACTTCCTCTTCATCATCTTCATAATGAGAAGATGAAGAACCTTCAAGCCAATCAATTTGTTCCTTAATATTTTCCACTGATATGACTCCCACATGTGCATATAAAGCTTTAGCAGAAAGTAAAGCAACTGGAACATCAACAAGCTATTCATTCACTCCCAATCCAATAAAGGAGATTGACACAACCAGATAAGCAGACGTCACAGGAGAAGCAATAAAAAGATCCAACTCTCTAGAATCAATGTTCACCACCCCCATATTAACAGCACAAAATTCATTATCACCCATATTCATCAACGTGTTAGCACAAACATCTTGAGCCACATTAAATTCATTCGAAGAAGGGCCAACAACCACAACACCATGAGATACATTACATTCATGCGAAGAAGACTCAACAGCCACTACTCCGATCATGTCAGGGACCAATGATTCATTTCCAACTAAAGAGGATTCAATCCTAATATCAATATAAGAGATAGAAGGATCAACCTCTCCTGACTGCAGGGGTAAAGCCTTGTCAGGGAAAATAACATCAACTATAGGGTTCTCACCCAAAGTAATATGGACTACAATAGAAAAATTTTTATCACCCCCATACAAATCAAAACCAACCATATTAGACACAGGAATATTAGCTAAAGGAGGATTAACTACTTCAGTAGCGAAGGCCTCTTTAACAGAAGGAGAAACACCCAAATTCGGATATAGGGTCATGCAACAATCCTTAGAAAACTTTATTTATTTATTTATTTTTTTTTTAAATCCTTAGAAAACTTTATCATGTATAGACATATGATGACTAGGGTTTTGAAATCATAGGAGATATCATCGTTATAGTTAAGTGAAAACTTAGCTTGACACTCTCACATGCTCGATAAAGTTCTAGGAGTAATATTTCTTTGATTCCCAACAAACTTAAAGAAAATCCAACTTGTGCATGCTTGATTTTCTACACCATCATAGGTTCAAAACACCTTTTGACATATACATCTCCCCTTTTGCAATTAAAAGAGATGTCTTGTACAAACTCTTAAATTTTGTTGGCGAGATAAACTTAGTGACTCACATTGATAGTATTAGAGTGTTATTAGGATATTACATTTTCACATGGAAATGATACTCAATTAACTTCTATATTACTTGACATGGAATGTACACTTGCGTGAACTCAGGGCTTGCTTCAAAAAAAAAAAAACCAATGAAGGTATTGACATTGTTGTCAGGGTAATTAGTTAATTGTCCTTTTTATACTCTATATTATTCAAAGAACTACTTGTTTAATCTTATCATTATTATTATTAGTATTGATTTATGTTATTGTTGTTATTTATATATTTTAATTATTGAATTGATTGAGCTCATTAGTGTTCATGTGTGTGATAATTTTGTATTTGCATTTGGTTTATGTGCTAGTACATGCTTTATAGAACCCAAAACAAAGAATTATTATTTCATCAAGAGATTGAAAGGATCCTTATGAAATTCAAAAAAATCTTAAAAACCATAATAAGATATTGAGATGGTCGAACAAAATCAGGAGATTGTCCCACCTAGATGCCTTAGAGAGTATACCAATCCCATGGTAGTATGTATCCACCAAAGTATATATAGACTTAATACACAAGCTAACAACTTTGAGCTTAAACTTGTGATCATTCAAATGGTAAAAAATTCTTATTTTTGGGGGACTCCTATAAATGATCCCAACCTATCCATAACAAATTTTTTATATATTTGTGTTACATTCAAGTGTAATGGAATCTTTGATGTTGTTGTTACTTTTACTTTGTTTCCTTTTTATTTAAGAGTTAAGGCTAAGATGTGGTTGAATTCCTTATCCCTATGCTCCATTACCATGTGGAATGATCTTGCTCACAAGTTCCATGCTAAGTATTTCCCTTTATAGAAAACTGTTAAGCTTAGGAATGATACCCCTTCATTCACCCATATAGATGGAAAGTTAATTTATGAAGCATATGAAAGCTTCAAAGGGTTACTTAAGAAGTGTCACCACCATGCCTTTCCTGATTGGATCATCACTCAGACCTTTATAATGGACTTATAGGATCTATTATATCAATAATAATGTGTCTGCTAGAAGGTAATTGATAATCAAACCCTTTGATGAATCCTACATTTTAATCGAGTAGATGACCATCAATAACTTTTAGTGGAATTTTGAGAAGGTGAATCATAAGAAAAAGTAAGTGTTTATGAATTAGATACCCTATCTATTATGACTACTCAAGTAGCAACAAATAGGAAGTTGGACAACATTGGTGTTATTTCATCCATAGGAACATCTATAACTATAAGAGAATTTCTCTTTGGTTCATCCAGTGATCCAAATGCCTTAGAGATAAAGTCTTTAAATGACATCAATAGATAAAACACTCCCTACTTGAGCAATTATAACCCCCCTTGGAAGAATCACCTTAATTTGTAATGGTATAATAATCCTAATATTGGTAGTTAATGGAATTCTAATTGACCCAACCATTTAGGAACCTATTACCTTGAACTTTCATTCTACTATTACTACATGCTTGTTTTCATTTGCACTACTATTATATCTCGCTAACATAAAAAATTTCATTTTAAAGGATAAAATTTTTGAAAAGAAGGACAGTTGATGCAAAATAAAGAGTAAACTCTGATGTTTTTTTCAAACATGATTTTTTATTTTTATTTTAGATAATTATCCTCGTATTATAGGAAAACATATCTATTATCATCATATGATGAAATGCTAAATTTCATTTGAGCTTGACTTTAAGTTCACAAAGTCAAAGTCAGGTCAACTATCACCTTATTATGCCATTGCATTGTGTCAACACATCTAGAAGATTATTTTGCGATCTAGTGATATTTTAGAATGAACAAGGAAAAAATCTAACTTGTAAGTTTGAAAAACTCTCCAATATTATCTAATAAGAAAATGAAAATATTTTAGGCTTGTTTAATTTGTTTATGTAAAAGTTGGCAATGTTATCCTTGTTGGAGACCAACCATCAAATCCTAGCATTTTTTGCATCTTTTTTTTATCTTCCATAAACTTTCATTCTGTGTTACATTACTTTACTACAATACTATGAGCTTGTGATTCATTGAATTTCCGTAACAACCTAATAAATACCTCATCGCTGAAAAGGATTAAAATATTTTCCATTCTACAAAGAAAAAAAATAATGAGGGAGTAAAATGAAGTTCTAGAAAAAAGCCTTAGACTCCAAAATTGTTACATACCAATCAAGGACTTTTCTAAAACATGTAAAAGATTAATCCATCTCACAAATTTAATATTCTTGGTTAACCTATGGAAAATTATTTTTTTATATATTTATTCTTACTATTTTCTTTGATTCTAAAAAGATATAAAATAATCAATAAATAAATATACACATATTATTATTTGGGTTAAGTTTGATCATGTAAATTAAAAAATCTTAAATTGTATTCCATAACTTGCTAACTATTAGAAACTATTTTGGATGGTTGTAGTATTTTATAAAGGTAGTTGTGAAATTCCTATTGAGAAACTAGTTTCACTACTATGATTGTAGAAAGTAGCTTTGCAATAAAATAGTTTCTGAAAAATAATGAGAAAGTTGGAGAAAATAATGCTTAAAAAAATTATGATTACTGCCTCAAAAGAAAGGCAGCTAGAAAATTATCACAAATAGACACTTGATTGACTTAACATTCAATCATTCATGCAACAATCAATTTTTATAGTGGTGATAATCAACTTTGATACTATTTTCTTTGTTTGATACAAATCTGTGAGGATGAAATTATCCGTTGGATTTGTTTCCTCAAGAAGACAAACGAAGTCATTAATGCACTCCCATGAGATATTATATTTATTTATGATACTAAGCATCCTAACAACAATAAATAATTCTAAATAAGTTGTGTAAACATCCCAAATTAATTAATTTTTTAGTAGAATATAATAATTTAATTTTTTTTTGGGTTTGGTGGCTCTTCCATGTGTGCTCCTTAATTTATACCTATTGCATCAAAAATATGTTCTTTACATAATTTATTAATTTGATCGTTATCCAATATTCTAAAAGTTGTGGATGAACTGGCATGAGTATCTCTATGTGGCTTGAGTACGCGCCATGTGAGGTCCAAAACCAATATCCTAGAACAAATCCCTTATGATATAAATCAACCTTAACATCCTTAGGCTTAAGAAAAGCTTGATTTTTGTACTTCGAGCATTGACATCTAAACATTCCATCTAACTCAAATGAAGGTAGTTGACATACGACATAAATGATATTATTAGCTCCCTTAAGAAATGTATCTGTCAAAAATTTTTTCCTGGTAAAAATCTGTTATAGATCCAATATCTCTCCTTTTGGATAGGAATATGGATGTTGAATTAATAATCCTAAAATAAAATAAATGAATAAAAGCTAATGTATTTTGTCATGCAACTCCAAAGATATAAATTATCAAATATTAATTTAACATAATAAAAAACTTGTTTCAATCTCTCTCTCTCTCTCTCTCTCTCTCTCTCTCTATTTTTCTCTCTCACACTTCCTCTTATCCTCTTTATCTCCCCCTCTATTACACAATCTCAACTTCTCTCCCTCCTTATCACTTTCATTTAGTCTCCCTCTTATCCCTCTCTCTCTCTCTCTCTCTCTCTCTCTCTCTCTCTCTCTCTCTCTCTCTATCTTTCTCTAACTTTCTTCCTTTACGTCAATCTTGCTATGTCTCCTACTCTCTCTTGAACTCTCCCCTCTCCTCTTTCTTTGTACCTCTCTTCTCACTCTATTGCACTCTCTCTAACTCTATCTTCAATTCCTTTCTCTCTTTTTCACGTGCTCACACACACTATCTCTCTCTCTCTCTCTCATGCTCGCTCTCTTACATTGTTTCTCTATTTGAACACTTATTTCAATAAACTTACGACCAAACTAAATGTCTTAAAGGAACAAACTCATGAACGTCGAAATTGATCCTTAAATATCTATTCCAAAACAGCTTAAACAATTCCTAAACCCTAAGAAATTTGGTAGTGCATCAAAACAAATGAACATAAAGCTCTTTATACGTGAAACCCTAAAACCTAAAACTCAATCTACGAAGTTATGCAATATTGAGTTAAAAAAACTCTCTAAAATTGGCATAACACATTTTCTAATGGTTCAAATTGTGTAACAAAGGAAAAGAGTGAAGAGAATAAGTTTTACTTTGAAAATCATGAAGAAACGGAGAAAAACAAGAAAAAAATGATTTGGATTGCTGGTAGGGGGTGGAGCAGCCGTGGACTTCGACTCTGGTAAGAAATGCATGCAAATGAGGAAGAGAGATGAGTTGGGGTGAAATAGGGCCATTTTCAAAGGATTTTCTGGCGACATTTTTCAGCAGAAAAGGTCACTTAAAACCGGCAGGGAATCTAATGACAAAAGGCGATAGGTACAAGAATTACTGTGGGAATTTTTGGCAGTACAATACCGCCGAAATTTCCAATGGTAATCGTGATTTTCCTACAGTGCAAGACTGTAATTTTCTCAAGCTCCTATTCACTTAATATTTTTAATTACTAAGTATGGACGCATAAATGGTCCTTAAGATTTGCAAGTCTAATTCAAATTTAAAACTTTGAATGTAAACTCACCCAGAGACTTCAAAAGTGGCCAACACTATTATTATGTTAGTCATACCAAAGGTTCCACCTATTTATACCGGATACTTAGATGTCCTCAATAGAAATCATTCAGAGTTCTTGCATGGATAATTTGTCCTCTTCATAGACTTCATCTATAATTCTTATCTTGCACATGGCTGATAGCTCCTTGCTCAGTGCAAGAATGGCTACATTGAGATAAGTCATACTTTTTTATATTATTTTAACAGACCTTCCTATGCTGTTTAATTTGGTGCATATAAATAGGGAATCATTGATCTAACATTTGCACTTTACGTGATATAACCTCTTCATTTATTTTCAAACTTTACGTTTGTTTTCAAAATTTTTCCAAAGCCTCTTTCTCTATGACTTTTATAATTCACAATCAAACAAGGAAATTCTCTAACTAATATTTTTCTCTTTCTTTCTTTCTCAAAATTTTCAGGCTCAGTGCAAACTTGTAATGGGTTGTTGTAAGTTTGTAACTCCACAAAAACCATTGAATCCAACAAGTTCTTTAATTTGACTAGGGGGTATTTTTTATGCCGATTTAAAAATGATTTGGCTATAATTTGAGCTAAATCCTTCTGGACATTTATGTTAAGCTCTAATTTTACTGGTGCTATATTTAGCTTAACTTCCATTTTTGAGTTTACCTGGATTTCTGGACATTTATGTTAAGCTCAAATTTTACTGGTGCTATATTTAGTTTAACTTCCATTTTGATCCCCAATTCTCTGTCATTTGAGATTATCCATTTGGATGTTTTTCTAGACCTTTAGGCTTCGTTTGAGACTGTTTTTTAACTGGTTCTTAAAGCAGCTTTTCAGTACAAAATTTTTTATTTTTTTATTAAAAAACTGTTTTAATAACAGAAAGAAAGCCATTCAAAACTAGGCTAATTAAGATCACATAAAAAAAAGCTAATTAAAATCACACACAAAAGTTTTAGACCCAACATCTCCTTATTGAATTGTTCTGTTGTTTTTCACTGGTTAGTTTTCCACACGTTCGCAAGCTTTGATGTCATACGAGGTCTGGAATCTGAACTGAAAGAGACTGATACAAATTAGTTAATTATTATTAAATTGATAATATAAACTGTTTACTTAATACATTATTTTAACAGATTTTGTTCAACTTAATATGTTAATTTTTTTATATTTTTTTTGTTATCCGGCATAACACAAATTCCTGACGTTCTTTTTAGTTCCTGATATATTTTAGATTAATAAAATTCTAACTCGTAAAATAAATAATTAAATTTTGTACTAAATTTTGGTTGAATTTAATATTTATCATGCCAACTATTCAATATTTACTACATCAAAATGTATAAAGTATGCCATATCCTACATTTAGGCTTGGC